TGGGGACCGAAGGGTGTTTATTAGATCCGTGGTCCTTCAGAAGGGTCAGGAACCACTTCCACTCTTCTTCAAGGAATGGGATATCTGGCGAATCTAAAAACAGTCCAGCCCCTTTAACAACATCAATAAATTTTCCAGTTTAAAAATTTACAATAGTTTATTTAGACACGAATGTTGTTAAAAATAAGGAGCTAAACAACATCTAAAGTCGCCATGGACTTGAATAGCAAGGGCTTCTCTGCTTTAGAGTGCAATCGATTCTTAAAAGAAGGATCTTTGAAGTATGCTTCCACAGTGGCCCTCGAGCTACAGTGTGCCCTGTTGGTGGCCGGTCTTCCACAGCGTCATTCTGAGCTGGTAAATGGTCTGGGCTCACTGACTTCACAGGCACACGAAAACCTTTTCTATGAATGGAATCTCCTCCTTCCTCCAGTATTGAGGACTGTACCCAGGGCCTTTGCACTGAGCTACACCCTCAGCTGCCTTTTAAATTTTTTATTCTGAGACAGGGTCTCACTAAGTTGCCCAGGCTGAGCTCTACATTGAGATCCTCCTGCCTTAGCCTCCCAGAGGACTAGAATTACAAGGGTGTGCTACCAGGTCCAGTTTGAAGCCAAGAATTTTCATCTCATCTCTCAAGTGTTTTCGTAATTGTCTAGTCACAAATCCAGGCTTTTATGACTATGATCCCTACAGGAAGGTGTAAAAATCTCCACTTGAAACAAATAGCCCAGATGATATGAGCCATAGCAATGTTTAAGTTCTCCCAGTCTATTTTGACCAACACTGATCACTGCCTTTTTTAAATCATCCACAGCATTTATAACCTTTACCTGGTGATTAACACCGGATTGCAGATTTCATTGTTCTTGACTAGAAATACCACTCACTACATTTTTTTCTTATTCCATCCTCCCAGTACTCATAAGCGATAGATGCCATTCACTGGTTTTATTGCAGTGGAAGGGGAGGCTCTGTTAAATCCAGGCAGAGATCACCTTGTTGCTCCACACCAGCAGGTATCCTCCCAAAAGGAAGGCAGGAAAAGGGCAATTTCAAAGATATTCCAAACTTGCCACTTGGCAATTATGCATGCACACGTACACACATACAGGCCTGTGTGCTGTGTACAGATGGTGTTCCTCCCAGGGCAGTGGGTGAGTTGGCACCAGAAGCCACACAAAGATACCTAATCACATCCACATTTTGTTCATATTTGAAGACAGATGATTGTTGTTGTTGTTGAGCACTTAGTATGTCTCAGGTGTCCTGTATGTACAATTATCAGTTTCTCCTAAGAGCATGGTGAGAGGAACACAGTCCTTATTTTACAGATATGAAAACAGGGGTTCAGGGTGGTTCTGGTTCAGGACTGCAAAGCCCAATCTGTCTGCTCTGTTATGCAAGACTTGCCGCATGTGAGAACCATCAGCATTGTCTGTTCCAACCCACTCAAAAGACAGATGAGGAAAAGACAAGAATCCCAACACAGTAAAGAGCGTACATGGCCACAGTCGGTCACAACCTGGTTGGCTGAGAACAATCAAGGGTATAGTTAGTCCAGATAACTGGGCTTTAAACAGTTTTTTTTAAAGCTACAATATAATTTGCAAACAATTTCTTCAACAGCTGCTTGGTTTTTATTTTATGATAAGAACTACTTCAGCAATCCAGACTATAAATTAAAATAGCTACTACCTTCATAGCATAGCCTATTCGGGGAATAAAATCCATTTCTGAGGTTTATAACTACAGACTTACAAATTTTAAAGACAATTTGTTAAGAAGTTTCTCAATGAAAAGAGAGAGAAGAAAGGTTAGGTTTAGTTATTGATAAAGATGTAAGAATTCCCTGGTGTTTTCCTTTGTATTTTTAAAAATGTTTACCACGTTGATTTTATCACCACAGCATTTCTAATTTGAAGAGAAGAAAACAAAGTTTCTGACTTCACTTCCTCCTAGGATACAAACTCTCCCACCAGAACAGAGTCTTGGAGAAGGCAGAAGTTGGTTCCCTGTAATGTTTCCAGTGCTGAGCGCTTAAGCACAAACCTTAGCATAATGAAGGCGATTGAAATGTTGCTGACTAAGTGAAACTTTCCTATTTTACCTCCATGTAGGATTTTTCCTTCAGATTAGGTGCAAGGGGAACACATGGTACCAGCGATTTGATTGTAATTTCTCTTAAATTCATTATTTTTAAGAATCTATCAAAGATATACAAGTAAACAATCGTGCGAATGACAGCGAGTCTGAATGACTTAAGTTCCACCCTGGGGGGTGATGACTGTCAGGTTGTCGTGCTGACTACCACCTCTGAAAGGGACAGCCTGGAAACCGCTCCTCACCGACTCCAAGCATTGAAGGAGTAGCTGGCGGTAGCAGCTTAGTACCTTTCCCAAACTGGGAGCACAGAAAGATAAGGCAGCTACATGCTTAGTTTCTCAGCCCTCCCAAACATGGAGGAAATAAGCGACACGGGTACAGCGACCCTCCTTTGGTCACTTTTGGGCCAGGTGTAGCGTTATGGGCTTCATTTAACGCTCACTCCATTTCTATGACATGGGTTCTGTTGCTACTTGCTTTTTACCAATGAGGAAACTGAGGCTTACAGAGGCGAACTGGAGCTCAAAGTCAGATCTGAGGCCAGACGTGACTCTTCCTTCTGTACGCCTCAAATTCTAGTCCTTTGTCCACAGCATAGGTGGTGTCTGCCCTCGTGCTTGTATCACCTCCTGCAGCCACGGAAGTGTGCTGCTCATTTACCTGCGGGGAAGGACAGCGCCACCTGTCTGGCCTTCAGCTCCTGTCGGTGACCTAGCATGGCGGGGTGCTGGGCCAGTCACTCCTGTCCAGCCCGGGGCTCCCAGTGCAGGCAATCTTGGCTATGACTTTCTCTGCACCAGCCCGTGCCAGACCCCTTTCCTTTGTCTGTCCGTCCGTCGGTCCGCCCATCCGCCTGTCTGTCCATCCCTCCCTCCCTTCCTTCCTTCTCTCCCTCCTCAGGCAGTAGTCCCTCAACACTCTCTGCCTCCGACTGCCCTCCTTTATGCTTCCCAGGCCTTCCCCTCCATGAAACCCTGGCATGACAGTTCTCTCTTGGTGTGTGCTTCCTGGAGGACCTGGGTTTCCCAGGACTCTCAGTCTCGTTATTTATGTAACACTTGCCTTTCGATTTGATTTCTTTTTAAAGTAAATGCATACAGTCTCATTTGACCAAAATGCATGTTAAATCTCAAGTTTAATGTGCTACTTCTATTTTTCCAGATACATTTGAATATACATCTAACTCTTCTATATGCTTTTGTGTATATGTTACAGAAGTTTCATATCTTCATAGATATGAATGAATATGTGATGAGTATTTAAATTAAATGTTTAAATATCGGTCACTTAGGTTATCTCCCTTGGCACTGATATATGTATATAACTCAGTTGGATTTTTTCTTTGTTTGCTACTAGGGTTTGAATGCAGGGTGTTTGCACTGAGCTAAATACCCAGCCCCTTTTATTTTTATTTTTTATGTTGAGACAGGGGTCTCACTAAGTGACTATATTGCCCGGGCTGGGCTTGAACTTTTAATTCCCCTGCCTCAGTCTCCCAGAGCCCTGGGATTTCATGTGTGAGCCACCATAGTTGGCTTGCACTTGAAAACTCTTCCCTACATTATAGCTCTGGTAAAAGACTTTTAAAAACAAGGACTAGAGATCAGAGAGGGGGAAGGATTAGAACAGAATGTCAACTGACATCCTTCAAAGTTGTCATGAAAAACTGGAGTTTGTGTTCTGTCAAGAACCTAGAAAGAAGGTTTCTGTCCAACAGGAAATGAAGCAAAAAGAACCTCAGAAATCCAGCTGGATCCTGGACACGAGGATAAAGCTGACATCTCTGTGACAACTGGATTTGTCATCTGCTTTTCATGGTGTGCCAAGTAGCACAGATGTTGTGATGAAATTACAAAGATTTTTTCCGGCTCTGAATTTCCACCCCTTCTCCCCAGTTTCTTGCTCATCTGGCCAAATTTTACCCAGGCAAGAGATTGGAGCAGGCATGGTGGCTGGGGTTGGATGGCTGACCAAGGAATGGTCCTCAGAACCTCTCTGCCCACCCACTTGTCTCCTTGCAGAGCCCATGCCTCCTGCACATGCCTTTGAGAGGGGCAGAATCAGACCAAGGTTGGAATTTTCCTGTCACAGAGAGCAGTGCAGTCTGCACTTGCCCTGCTGGTGGCCTGGTGGTCATCCGGGTTTTTCTAAAAGGGAAGTGAGAATTGATGGCTCCTGGTGATAGCTTCTGGCTGGGAAGCCACGAAGACACAGCGCCCTAAGGTGGTCCATCTTGCTAGGGCCAGAGTGCTCAGTGAGACAGGAGGAGGTCGGGGTTATCATCATTTTAGATCAGCAAACCTTTTAGAGAGTGAGTGCCCAAACTGCAACCCCAAACCCACTTATTTATGGAAAAGTGCCAACACTGCAATTAATTCTGAATAGTGAGGTTTTAGTTTAGGAAAAGAACAACTTACACACCTGACTAGAATGCCAACAGAAAGGGATCTGCATGCCCGCTGCGGCATGTGTGCCACAGGTTCGCCACCGCTATTTGGTGTTTTATTTTGGTACTGGGGATCAAACTCGGGACCTTGTGCTTGTGAGGCAGGCGGCGGAAACACTGAGCTAAATCCCTGGCTCATTGCTACCACTGTTTTAGAGGATGATAGATCCACAAAATATTACAACCTTTTGCCACAAACCCAAGTGATTGTACTTGTTCATCTCCCTTTCTTCCCCATGGAACACTGGTTTGTAATATGATAGGCACTTCATGCTTCCTAGGGGTGTGTTAGAAATCCTCAGCTCAGTGACAGCTGAATCATTTTTGAAAAGAAAGAGGAAAAAAATACCCTCTACACATTGTTGAGTACAACACCTGGCTCAATAGAGACAATTGCTCAAGTCAATCCAGCTCCAAGGACTCTGCAAATCTTGAAACTCAGACTCACCTTTTTCCAAAACAGTTTGCCCAGGGGCAGAGAGGTGGGTCCCGCCTTCTCCTTGCTACTGTCCTTTGCTGCCCCAGCGGCTGTTGGAGACGTTGCCTGGCCTGGTGGGCTGCCTTTGGGGCTCTGGGGTCCCCCCGGGGTCTCCTGGGGGGTAAAGTTGGCTTTGTCTGACTTGAGGTTGGCCACAGGGCTGGGTGACTTCTCAGCACCCTACAGAGTTTAAAAGAAAACCCAAGTGAAAAACTGCAGAAAAATTTCACAATTTTAAAAGCAAAAGATCTCTTTTTATGAACATGGGCTGGGATTATGCATAATGTTAATTGCATCCTTTATAATTTTCTGTATTTTTCCAAGTTTCTACTTTAAATATGGGTTTGCGTTAAAATCTTGGGGAAAGGTCAAGACATTTTCCTTCTGGAGAAAAGCAGAGGAGCGTTATTAGTGACGTTCATGTGAGTTACTCATTAGGAGTCAGCAAGAGGAGAAAAGGAGCTTTGCTGTTGGAGCCCACCTCACCTAGGGGCTGGTTCCCCTCAGGGAAGGGGTTTTGAATGTGCACTCCCAATGCACCTACATTTGTTGACGCATCTCTTATAAACACACAATGTTCTACTGATGCAAAATGGAAATTAGCGATGGTTTAAGACAAATGCAATTACCAAAGGTCTAAAGTCTCTCTCTCTCACTCCGCTTTGGTGATGACTGACCTAGGCTACGAAGTACGAAGTACGTGTGAGAGGTAAGTGTGAGTTCCATCTGGACTGGAACTCAGTGCAGGTCCCGAGTCGGAAGTGTCTACAGTTCCCTTTCTTCACTTTCAGATGAAGCCCCCACACTCCACAATTCAAACTCCTTCAAATGTCTTCACTCCCTCTCTCCTTCCTCTCTCTCCTCTTTTTTCTCCCTCTCCTCACTCCCTCGTTTTCCCGTTTTCTTTCTCTTCTCTGCTCCCTGTCCCCCTCTTTGCCCATCTCCCTCCCAAAGTCTCCATCAGTCTCTGTCTTCACAAGTTGTCTGTGCCGAACGTACCCCACTTTTCCACTGAGGGGCTGATTCTTATGCTTTAGCTTCCTTAGTCTTTAGATAAAGAATTACAGTCACATCTGGGTCAACACAAGTGAATATTCATTTTTGAATCTTTAACACCAGGTTCATCTAACCTACTCCTCATTCTAAGCATCTTTATGATTTTTCTTTGGGGACTTGTGCCTCAATCCCTTTTAAATTTCGTGTCATATCTCAGACTACACTTTGTACCTGAAAGAAAAAAAGCTGGCAGTGGAAATGGAGAAATTCAGGAAGCTTCACAGTAATTTTTGGTGCTGGAAAGAGTTTTACCAGCCCTCTGGGCCAATAATTTAAGTTTCAGATGAAGAAACCAAAGCCCATCACTTGCCTAACGTTAAATAAGGGGCACAACTGGGCCTGACATCTGGACCTCTGGTCCCTGTCTACACCCTCGCCTCACGGACATCACCTCTCTGAAGAGTGCTTGGGATAACAAGAATTTCCTTATCTTATATAAGATACAACATCTTCTCTGCCTGGGATTTGTATTGATTATTTAGCAGTTTCTAAGATCAAGTCATGATAAAGACCTAAAGTGGAGAAACAACTGGTACTGGAATAATCCTATTTCCAGTGAAAATGTGCAAAATTGAATAATGCTGGAACTTAAACTAACCCCTGCATTTAGAGACAGTAAAGTCAAAAGTGCTGGCTGGAGATTTAGCTCAGTGGTGCCACCACCTGCCTGGAAAGCAAAAGGTCCTGAGTTTGATCCCCGGCACCAAAAAAACAAAAAACAAATAAACAAAAAACCAAAAGTGCTGAATCCACAAGGCTCTGCATTAAGAATGCTTCAGATGGTCATAGGCAGCTGGTACTATTTTAGCCCCACTCTGTAATTAGGTTAAAGGGGACTGATTAAAGGGAACTACCTTCCCACCTATGAAGTAGCTTGTTTTCTTTTTCAAAAATGTAACAACGTATTATTTATTCATAAAAATACATTAAGTGCCTGCTATGAGCCATGAAGTACACTGGGTATATAATATATCCTCATGGACAGAGTGATATTGAACAAATTATTTCTCAAATAAGCATAAAAATTTCAATTGTGATAAGTGCTATGGAGGGATGAGCTGGTTTGTGGTTGGCAAAACACAAAAAACAACCCTCCCAAACCTAAAGCAGAGAATTAGACCCATGCTTGGCAATCAGGGAAGACTTTACTGAGAAACTGATGGCTGCTTTGATGTGAAGGTGACTAGAAATCGAGCAGGGAAAGGAAGGCAACTGCGCCCTAAGAGCTGCTCTGAGGCTCTTTGTCAAGGAGACATGTGACAAGTGTTCCGGGACCCGTGTGGAAGCAGATGAGCCAGGAGCAGTCAAGTCTGGCTAACTACCCAGCATCCACCACTTCTGCTTTGCTGGGAGAATTCCCATTTGCTTGGGGTCCATTTGAGACCATGCACCAGGCAGGCTGGGGCCGACCCTATCTCATCTGTAAGAAAGGGCTGTGGCCGGCTTCAGCCAATCATCAGCCCAGCCAAGGCCACGGGCCATGCAGAGATTCAATCACATCATGACCCCATGTTGTTTGATTTAACTCCTGCTGCTTTGCTTTTTCTACTTTCCAGGCTGTAGATTCATTCAGTTCAAGGCTGCTCAGCCAGACTCATATGGAGGCTACCAAAAAAAAAGTTCTCCAGAGCTCTAGAATTTCTCTGGGACAGCCCATTACCTGATGCGTGACATGTCTGGGGTTTCATCATTCAGCCCCCACTCTTGAAGATTCCCCTTGGGCCATTCTCACCTCTTCAAGACAAAATTTCCAACTTTAATCTTGGGGTTACTAACAAAAGGTAATGGTGCCAAGAACTATTCTAAGCACTTGACTGCTTCAACAATCCTATGAGGAAGGAACGAATCATTACACCCATTTTATAGACAGGGAATGTAGGAGTTTGGTGGGGAAGTAACCTGCCCATGGTTGCACTAGTAAGGGCTGAGATCTGGCAGTTGAATCTAGGGAGCCTGGTCCCCAAACCCAAGCATCAATAGCAACTCTGTACTACACTGTTACCAATTAGGCCCTGCCCCCCCAAGGCTATTCTATTCATCAAGGGGTGGAATGTGCACACCATTCTAAATAAAGCCACTATCATCCCCAAAGTAGGGAGAATTGGGTCATAGCTTTTGTTCTGGGTGGGGTGTTGTAGAAATTAGTAACATGGTCCATGCCCATCCAAAGGGTCATATGTCATAAACACACAACAAAATGTATGTCTTGCATTAAAATTTCACCAGGAGAAAGGCGATTAGTGGAAAAATGCCCCAAAAGGCTTCATAGTGGGGAACCAATGATGTGAGAAAGATAAAGAAACACATCTACATTGCTTAGTTTTGCTGAGAAATGGCCATTTCTCTTCTCTTCACACAGGAAGATACCCAGAGACCCTCAAAAGCATGACAAGCATGGGACTGTATTATATTTATAGTCACATAATGTAACTTTAAAGTATCTGTGCAGTTGTTTGTTGACTATGTTTCCCATGTTACCCTTTGAGTCCACTGAGGGAAAGAGGGTCTTGGTCATTATTACTTCTCCAGCTCCCATCAGGCATAGTGCTTGGAACAAAATAGATATTAACTAACTAGCTAACTAGCTAACTAACTAAAAATACAAGAAAGTGACCAAACAGGGTTACCCATACACAATCCAGCCCTGTTCTGTTTCCATCCACCTACTCCTTCCCATCCCTCCCTCCCTCCCTTCCTTCCTGGCTACAGAGTCCCAGTTCGAGCGCCATTTGTCTTTCCATTCTCCACTCACTCTACACCCCCCCTTACTTCCCCAAGGCATCTGTCCAGTAGTGTTTGGCAAGCATTAGCCAGCTTAATATTCTTTGTTTACATTATAGCAGAGACTGCAAAAACTCTACCCATGTTTTCAGAGGCAATCTCACGATTTGAAATAGAATGAGCATATAAAATGCCTCATTATGTTTGAATTTCAGATTGGCAAAGAAAAAATTTCTAGCATAAGTATGTACCAAAGATTGCATGGACCACATATTCATATTAAAATTTTTCCTTATTTATCTAAAATTTGAATGTCACTGGGTACTCTGTGTTTTATCTGGTGACCCTACACATGAAATTCTTTTTTTTTTTTTTTGGTACCAGGGATTGAACTCAGGTCCTTATGCTTGCGAAGCAGGGGGCAGAACCACTGAGCTAAACCCCCGGCCCCCTACACATGAAATTCTAAGATACTAGATTTGGAGACTTCCTATCAAACGACCTTACCTTCTTAATGTATTTTCATTTTGCTTTCACTCTGGAGTGTGGGAGACATGTGGTGTTAGGAAGATGCAAGCATTACAACAAGAACCAAAAACAGTGAATGCACGGCAGAGCTTATGGATCAGCTGGGCCAGCTGCTAATTAACATTCTGGCTGCCTTACAGAGAGGATGCTGGGAAACCTGAGCAGAGAAAGGAGCATTCTGGGTATGGCAAATGCATCTCAAACAGTGCCTCAAGTGCATCTAAGAGCAATGCCTGGCCTTGGGTGCTTGTCATCCTTGACTGGGAGGATGCTTGAGAGTTTGATTTTGAGGCATTGTGTGGGATTGAGGCAAAAAAACCAAACAAACAACCTATTCAGATTCAGCAAAGGAAAGCTGGGTCTCTAATCATTTATGACTTAAGTTTATTTCATTTTTAATTACAACCTTTACTGTTTGTTTGGTTTTTTTTTTAATGAAGAAAACCTCTTTTATAGAAAGGAAAACTGAGATGGAGAAATAAACCCAGAAACCAATCAGAACTGGTAACCATTGTATTTTTTTAACAACAAAAGTGGAAAATTCATAGTTTGTTTTTTTTTAATCTTTGAATTCGCTCTGTTTTCCTCTTGTTTGTTTTAGATTACAACCCATGGTGAACTGGAAGGTGTCAACCTCCTACAGTTGTGTGATGGGCATCACTGACGGAATCTGCTTCATCCTTTTAATGACCCATTTTCCTCTTTGAGGACAAAAGAATAATCAGAAGGCAAAAAGAAATAAACTGTCCTAAGTACAAAGATAAAAACCAATGAGCTCTGCCAAAGTGTTGAATAAGACAGAGTTCAGAAGTATTTTAATTTACATCAACATTTAGAAAAAACACATATGCAATATATAACTCAAGGCAAGACTGTAGGCCATGCCTCTTCCAAGCAAGGGTGCCTTTCTACCTCTTCCTAGGAGTCCAGAGTCCTACCTTTCCCCAAATAAACCTTGGTGGCAGAAAGTGAGGCCAAAGATTTTGGAAATTCTAAGCAAATAACACTGATCTTGGGTGGTCCATTTATGAATAAAAAGAGTCACTGCAGATGTGAGATTCTGTAGTGCATGAAACCAATGTCCCACTGCAACGCTGGTCTGGGGCCAGAATAGGGCAGTGGGTATGTCATAATCTTAAACTTTTCAGGCCCCTTACTCACCACAACTCCCAATGGGGGTTGAACTGGATTCCTCTGTAGGAGTCTACAACATATTTCAGTAGCAGTTACTAACTGGTTTCCCACATACCAAAATGGGACTACTTTTTAATGTTTCCTCTCCTATTTGCATTACCTATCATTCCCTTCTTTCTCTCTCTGCACAGAAACTGAAGGGTGGCTTCATAACATTGTTTGTGCAAACATAAATTCACCTATGAGGACTTCCTATGGAACTTACATTTGCATACATTAATTGTAAGACTGACTATCGAGCTGGGAAATTTTGTTAATAAAGTTCATTCAACTTGGTGGAGAATGGTTGACCTTTCAAACAAATTTCCAAGCATGCAGACCCAACTCAGAAATTATTTAAATGGATGGTTTCAGATATACACTGGTGTCTTCTTGGATATTAGAAGAGTGGTATCTCCAAAAATGGCTTCATTTTGTCTTAACTTCCTCATGACGTGGAGAACTTGCTCTGCCTTCACTCATTGTTTTTTTTCCCTCTTGCCTAGGTGTTATGTGGGCTCAGTAGAAGCTTAGTTAATACTGGGAATGGAAGGAGCAGACCACAGAAAGGTAAAATTGTTATCTTGGGGTTAGAAGAGTATTTCCCAAAGTGTAGGCAGCATCCCACTGCTGGACCAGAGATGGTTTTAGGTAGCACAGCAATTCAAAATTAAATAGCATTTGAATAGTGAAAATACTTTTCCTTTTCCAACTCTTCTATCATCTGTCTAACAACATTCCAGGGAAAGGCTCAGTTTGATGCTGGATGACTTTAATATTTCCACACCATTGGCCAATTGTTTTTTGGTTTTTTTAAAAATAAAGTTAGAGCACTGGATTAAGGGCTCAAACAAATGAGGTGGTGAGAGTGTTACACTTTTTGTTTGCTATATTAAATTGTTATCTTCCTCTTACAAGGAATGAGTCTGGTTTTCTCTATATAATGAAATATAAAGTTTTTTTTCAAGACACATTTAAGCAGAAAATGGCCAATTTCAATAGAAAAACATCAAGTGATTAATAGGATATCTAACACAAATGGTGAAGGTGGTATGCAAATGACCAACATTTGGGAAACACTCAATAAGAATAATTTCAGAACCCTGGTCCACATTTGGGAGAAACTGGTCTGAGATGTTTATAGCTATGGGGACTTAAACTAATTCACTGAAGTCTGAGTCACATCATCTTTAATTTCCCTTCACTGATCACAACCGCAGGCTCTGTCTTCACTGAAGCAGAGTGGGGTGGGCACAGAATGCGTGAGCATGGCGTGGTGAAGACCAGGGTTCTTGGCTCTCCTAGTTGAACGAGATAGATACAAACCTGATGTCTAAAGAATTTTCTAAAGGCGAGTCCTAGCCTGGGGCTCTCCAGGTGCTTTTTCTTGCCGCCTTTTCCCCGGGTCTCTGACGTGTTCTGACCAGCTTGTCCATCACAGACACTTTCTGCTTTGGATGCCTTTTGGGCAACAGCAGTCACAGCTTAGAACTTTGTTGTTCAACAAAATCCAATTTTTTCTGTTGTCTTAAAGTGCATTAATACACTGAGACGATTAACTGCTGGTATATGACTTTCATCCCCCAACCATAAGACACCATGTGAATGTTTGGGTTTGTTAAATTCTCAAAGACTATTTACTAAACAGCATTTTTTGGGTAGGTGGGGACCGAAATTGAACCCAGGGCTTTTGCAGTGAGCTAAACCCCTGATCCTTTTTTAAAAGATTTTTTTTTTTTTAAATTTTGAGACAGAGTCTCAGTAAGTTGCTAAATTACCCAGGTTGGGCTTAAATTTATGATCTTCTTGATTCAGCCTCTCAGAGTGTTGGGATTTCAGGTGTGCCCCACCCACCCAGCAATAAACAGCATATTCAAGTCAATTTCAGGTACATACTGATTTTCAACAGGGTGACCTACTCCCATAACTTAAACAGATTTCAAAAAAGAATATCCTCAACCCAACCCAACCCAACCCTACCCTGCCCATTATTTGCTAAAAACAGCAACCAGACATTTAATAATACATGACTTAAAATATACGAAGAAAAATAGAAAAGATAACACAATTCCCACTTAATGGCTTTAGATATCCAAATGGTACTGTCATATGGGAAAGAAAAAATTATTTGCTGACAAATAATTTAGTGTTGTGTCCCTGAGACAAGGCAAATACTACCTACAAAAGACTTCCACGCTCAAACTGATGTCCTCTGATTCAGTGTTTGAAGCCTGAGGGAAGCAGTACCAAGCACACAGATTCTGACTGACTTCCAGATGGGCGGAGCTTCCAGGCAAAGGATGTTTCCAGGGCGAACCAGTCTCTCCCGTCAAAGTGGGAAGAGGCTGGGAATGAATTAGCCCAGCTACAGCCACTGAGAACGGCTGGCTCAAGGCAGAAATGGTGTGACACTTTGGATGGGGCATGGAATCTGATAAAAACCACCCAGGGCTAAACAGGACAGAGATACAGACTGAAAAAAAAAATACAAGAACTTCAGTAGAAAAAGGTATCAGCAAGGCAAGGTATGAGAACAGGTTCTATAGGGGAGAGGTCTGTTTGTATGTATCACGGGTACCTACATGCAGAAACCCTCAGCCAAGACTCAGGTTCAGCAATGGACAGGACAGTGAGGTTTTGTCAGCAAGGTATATTCAGTTAGCGCCACATTCTTGGTTGTAGAAGGGGCCTGGTGTGTGACCAGCTCGGGAGAAAGACTGCATCTGGTCACACATCACACCCATACCCCCCACTGTTTATCCTCTATTGTGCTGTGTCTTCACACAATGCAAAACAGAGCCAAAAGGGAGACATTCTGACCCAACCATTCACTGAACTTGACCCTAGCTCCCTTGTAACAAATGAATAATTTTAAGGACAATACATGCAGATGTCTTGGAAATACATTTTTCAATGGGAGAAAATTCTAGGGCAAGCAATCAATATAATACAAATGGAATCACAGAATCGAATCTATCTTGCCTATGAAAACAGGAATAGGCATCACCCACATTTGGACAGAGCCCTGTAGCTCACAGGGCATTTTCACACCTTCACTCAATGCTAGGGTCTAGGGAGAGACTTTTCATTGTCTCAGCTTTATGAATGTGGAGACCACGGGTTCATAAAGTCGAGCATCATATCATTATCAAGTCACAGAACTGGAGCGCAAACACAGGTCTTTGGAGACAAAACCTAGGATTTCTTTTTTTCACAACTGAGCTCCTTCAAATATAAGTAGCAGATGTGTGGCGCTGGCCAGGCCACTCAGTGGATCCCAGTGCATTTCAAAGCACTTTCCATTATCAAAAGAATGCAAGACGCTATCTGTCACCAAGTTAAACTGCTCTCAGGAATTCCAGGAAATTTAAACCATGTGTCCCACTAAGGTAATTGATCCTGTCAAGTGTAAAGGAAAGCATCTTTAAGAAAGTAGTTGTTCCAGACCAAATTTACTGTGAGGGGAACTGGCTGAGTTTCCAGGAAGACAGTGAAAAATGCAGCAGGACGCCTGACTCCTCCACACGGTCCTCCATTTGGCACATATCCACGGCAACCATCTTATTTCAAAATTATCTTTGCAGCATGGACTTTCCCCCCTCAAATTACATGAAAGCAAAGAACACTCTTTTTCCCTTTTCCTGTGGTACAGGGGGTTGCACCCAGGGCCTCACAGGGAGTTACATCCCTAGTTCTTTTCATTTTTTTCAAATCTTGAGACAGAGTTTCATCAAGTTGCCCAGGTTAGCTTCAGACTTGCGATATTACTTCTGTTTCCTAAGTACCTGGGATTAAAATGGTTGCATCTTCCTTTTATTTTAAAGGGAGTCATTTTTCTTATACTTTACTATTATACTTTATACTTCATTATACTTATACTTTCTGGGTTTCTCTATATGCAACTTAAAAGACTAAGATGATGATATAATTGTTAGTATTTTGTTCTTATTTTATATAAGAAATTAATCATTGTGACATTGTTTAGCCAGGACTGGCATAGCTTTTAAGCTTCTACTTAAATTTTCACTCAAATACCATTACCTAAATGAAGTATTTTTTTTTTAAATGAAGTATTTTAAAGACAACCCAACAGCAGTATTAAATTGCCATTGATAGATGTGTATGTATATATACAACACAGGTAAGCACATGTGATACACACATGTGCACATATGATACATACATCACTCAGGGAGCAAACAAGCAGACACAGATCTGAATCCAATTCTGTGCCCAAACCCAACACACATGCACTGTAGACATACACACTTCACTCCACCTACCGTGTCTTCTGGCTCTCTTTTTGTTTTGGCTTTGTTGGGTGACACCTTAAGAGTTGGAGAAAACATATATTACAAACCATAGCTTTTTAAGGTGATTTTTATTTCATAGACACATAATGCTCTAGGGTAGTCCAGTTTATCACACCAACAAAGAAGGAAATGAGTACTTCTAATTTAGTAGAAACCAAGGAACTTCTGAATAATAAAAAGTAAACAGAATTAAAATTTTATAATGAAATGCATCAGATCTCATATATTCACCAAAAGTTTGACCACATTCAAAATTGCCTCCGGGAAGGTCACAGACTTCCCATCAGTTCTACATTATTATTATTCCACACATGTGGCAACCCTTTGGTGTTTGTGGCACCTTCTTTTGACTTTTAATTGTATCTTTTGGAGTTAGTCTTGATATTCACATATAGATCTGACATATCGGGAGCTGGTTAATTATGCATTCATTCATCCATTCAGCTCTCTTTTGAGTTTTGTCATGTATCTGTTTATGGGCTCCGCCTTGGAGGTCAGAGGTGGACAAGAAACACAAAGACACAGTCTCTACCCTATCCAATTAAAGTGGTAGACTGAACAAGACTGAAAGTGATTGCTACACTGTTTTATTCACCATTTGAATGGCAAAGTTGCCTTGTTAGGTCAACAACTCAAGGTTGTATTTTCTAGTAATTGTGAAGACTGATAACCATAGGGCTGGGGATTTAGCTCAGCCTGCCTTGCAAGTACAAGGTCCTGAGTTTGATCCTTGGTACCAAAAACAAAAGAAAAAGAAAAAGAAAAAAAAAGACTGATGACCATAAGACATCCAACCGCAGTGGAATTCCATTAGAATGTGCGCCATGTTACCTGGTCTGGGCACCCACTGTCCCTGCCATGGGTCCCAACACTAAGAGTTCTCTCATGGGTGCCTCTTTCAAACAACAGCACCGGGGAACAGGAGACGGAACTACTTACCAGAGTTCTGAAGAAACTCATGATGGCAGTATTGTTCTCCGTGGTATCTGTTGTTGGGGAGTCCTCCCTTGCTACCTCCAGCCCTTCTGGGTCCCCAGGGACAGAGCAGTTTGAAGTTTCAATTTCTTGTCCTTCTGTTTCCTTGCTGTCAACTATATCCTAGGAGCAAAACAGTTTTCACAGTTGCAACTTGTTGAGTGTGGACTTTCAAAGTCCTACTTTTGCTTCATACCCCTTTCTTTCTTTTCCCCTAATTCCAACCATACTTCTTCTACCCACGGGCCCGAAGAACAATAAGGACCTTATGAGAGTCCCTCTCTCTCCCCTCCCTACCTTCCTAACATACTCAGCATTTGCAGTTGGTTGCAGGGGCACTGTTTGGAGCCAGACGGTGATAAACACAGCAGTGCATGTCTCGTTCCAAATCAAACCCCTTTCCTCCCCATTCTGCAAAGCGGGTGTGTAAGATGCCTATATTTTCTATCTTTGTGGTCTCCTTGTTTAATGAGTTGTATGTCATCACCAAGGTGGCTGTATTGGATTTCCCACAATCCTCACAGTAGTGAGTCATATCAACCGAAAAAAAAGTACTGGTGATTTGAAACCACCACTCTGCCTTTGGAAGCTGGAGTTTCGGGGGCCGCGGATGTGACAGGGGAGAAAGCCGGGTGCATTCTGGATCCGTATTTTTTCCCATCTTCACCTCCATGGCTCTGGGCCAATGCTCTGTCCTCTCTCTCCCTCATCACAGCTGTGGCCCCCCGCCCTGTCTACTTGGGTTCTGGAATGCTCAGTCCGTTCTTCACTCAACAGACCTTATCTTCTACTTCATACCGCCCCCAGTGGCCGCCCTGGGCCTCGCAGTCAGGCCAAACCCTCCACAGGCTCCCCTCTGTGGCACAAAGGATAGAGCCAGCCGAATCTCCCAGCTCTCCCTGCTGCTCTCTCCTCTCCACTTATTCTGACCAGTTTTCTCTGAGTTCCTCAAGCATATCACAAGCTATTTCCACCTCCTGGCTCTCTGTCTGGAGCATTCTGCTCCTCTGTGTGCCCGTAGGTAATTTCCATCCATCTTTCCAGTCTTGAGGGCCACCTTTTCTGAGAGGAAACCTCCATACATCCACCCATACCTCTCATTTTCTCACTGTCACCTCTGCCACTGTCCCCTTTTTGCTACATTCATTGTCACAGTGCCTGTGCTTACATGACCAGTACCAGCCCACTCTCGTGCCCCCACGAGTGTAGACTCCACCGTGGCATGGCTTCTGTCTCCTCTGCTCACTGCTGCTTCTCAAGTATCAAGGACACCAAGGCCACAGAATGATTTACAAAGCCGTATCCTCACACGACTACTTAGTAGAGGAATGGAATAAATGATAATTTTATGTAAATGAGATGGGCTCTCCGGATCAGCTTATTCTTGTCACGTGCCATTCTGTGTATCCACTGTGCATCTGTGACACTATTGATGGTCCAGTATCATTACTGATGGGCATTTATAGTATTTATGCTGTTGCGTCTAGGCTATGGTAGGCAATGTTCATATCCGTATGCCAATGTTTATTTTGAGTCTTGCGTATGCATCTATATTTTCTTTAGACAAATTACCAAAAGTGATATTTCTGGGTCAAGTGGTAGGTGTATTTTAAAACTTGATAAATATTCTTGCAAATAATGGACGATTTCATTAAGCAGATTTTTCTGCAGTTGTCTCTGGGCTTTGACATTGGTCTGGTGCCTCAGTAGAGGTGGCAGGTGAGACATCAAGTATGTCCAGGGTAGGCAGGGTGGCCCTGGGGGTGTAGCTTGATACCAGGGAACTTGCCTGCAGGTGAGGGGAGTAAGTGAGGCCAACCAGACCTTCATCTCCTGGTCTGAGCATCCTTTCCCTGTCCCTGTCTCCTCCATCCCTGTGTAGTCTTCCTTTATCCCAGGGCCTTTGGGCCTGACCTGCCATGCCATCTCCCCATCTCCCATGTTGCCAATACCCTGATTTGGAGGAGAACAGAAGGAAGCCATTGTCTTAGCAGTGCCAGAGAAGATTTGACATTTCTGTCTGTTTTCACCACTTCCTCCAATAATAGAGAGTAGAATAGGCTAGCATTGCCTATAGGCTCTTGATCTCCGCACACTGTAGTTTCTGGAACCCAGGATAAACTGACACAGGTAGACTATCCCGACCACCAGAAAACATTTACTGTAATGACTACTTGTGAACAATGCAGGTGTCCTCTTTTCTTTGTTTTTTTTTGGTACCGGGGATTGAACTCAGGACCTTGTGTTTGCGGGGCAGGCAGCGGAACCACTGAGCGAAATCTCCGGCCCAAGTGTCCTCTTTTCTAAGACAGACTAAATTGAACAAGTTCATCACATCTCAACATATCATTACTTATTATGAAATAACATACGCCATCAAATACCCTACAACATGTAAACTGCTGTCCAAATAAGTGCATTACACATGGGTCATTTAATCTTCACAACAATTTCATGAGGCAAATATTATCATTGTTAGTTTTTAAACAACTAATACGAGGTTAGGTTACTTGTCTAAGTTCACACAGCTGGAGAGGGACCAGTGTGGGGATTCTCTCCCCAGCTGCCAGCACTGAACATCCTAAATGTTGTGGACCATTTACCACCAGTATTAACTCAGCTCAACTCACCAGGCAGTGAATTAAATGCAGGCATTGGGAAGCAAATATCTTTCTGAAGAGTATGTGTAAATATATGCTCAATTCATAAATTCTCTGTAGATCTCTTCTGAAGAAGCGCTGGACTCAGTTTGTCTAAGGCACGCCACCCTTATTTCTTGAACACCGCTTCTTTGTATTGAGGCCACACAGTTAGAGTGTAATCGACTGTTGGCTCATCTGCCTCGAACTCCGCACTGCTGTGATCACAGGACGCTTCTCAAACTGGAGAAGTCCTTCATTCACTCCATCCCCACTTCTTCCCTGACCCTCTCTTGATTTACTTTCCTGCAGTCACTCTATTGTGGCCTCAATGTGCCAAACAGGTTCCTGCCTTTGTACCTGAGCATCTACCTGCCAGAAACACGCTACATTATGACCTTCAAGCCACTTAGGCCATCACCTTGTTTGAGGTCTTTCTTTACCACTCTAAATTGCTCTAACTCAATCCTGGAACACCCTTTCGCTGCTAATTGCCATTTTTCTCTTTTCTTGGCATATTTCTCTGTTCATGTATCACCAGTCCTCCTTCCTAGGGGCGGGTGGCAGTGTCTGGAGGTGGCTTTGGTCACCACTGGAGGGCGCAACTGGCATCTGGCGGTAGAGGCCAAGGATGCTGCTAAACACCCATTATGCACAGGGCCAGGACCACCTCTGAGGAAATCTCAAGAGTGCTGAGACTGATAAACCTGTAAAAATCTCACTTAGTCATTTTGGCCTTGTGCCTCTTCCTCCCCTAGAATACAAGGAGAGACAGACAGGAAGTTTTGTTCTTTTTCTTCTTTGCATTTCTTTTGCACATGGACTTGTGCAAGTAGTAAATGAATGAATGATAAATGATTTGATCCAAGTGATTCCAGAAATTATCAATTTTTTTTTTGGTACCAGGGGTCGATCTCGCGACCTTGTGCTTTTGAGGCAGGAGCTACATCCCTAGCCCAATTATCAATTTTTACCATCACGTTTTCAAGTATCTTTCCCCTCCTTTCCTTTCCTTCAAGGGCTCCAATGACGTGATACTAGTCTGCCTGCAATTGTACAGCTCACTGATTTTCCTTTGTTTCTTTTTAAAAATCTTCCCCCGTGGATAGTTTCTGTTGCTGTGTTTTAAAATTCTCTCTTCTTTTTTTCTGCATCATTTAAGATGATTAATCCCATTAATGTACTTTTACTTCACACATTATAGCTTTTAATCTCTAGAAGTTTAATTTGGACTTTTAAAATATACATACCATCTATGGTCCTACTCAACTTTTATACACATGGAATAATCTATACTAATTAAAAAATGTCTTTTTCTGTTGATTCTAACACTGGAGCCAGTTTTGGGTTGGTTTCAGTAGATTTTTTTTTAAATCAAATCATAAGTTACATTTTCCTGCTTCTTTGCTCCCTGTCAATTATTGGTTAAATGCCAGATATTGTGAATTTTACCTGTTTGGTTAAAATTTCAATAATATTCCTTTTGTTCATTTGTTTTGTTTTGTTTTGTTTTTGAGACAGGGTCTTGTTGTGCAGTTCGGGCTGGCCTCAAACGCACTATGTAGCCCAGGCTGGTCTAGAACTCACAATGATCCTCCTGCCTCAGCCTCTCCAATGCTAGGATTATAGTCATGTGTCACCATGCCAGCCTCAATCAATATTCTTGAGCTTTGTTTTGGATGTAGTTTAAGATACTTGGAAATAGTCGATCTTTTCAGTTTTCACTTTTAGGATGTGTTCATCTTAAAAGGACCAAAGATGCATTGAGTCTAGAGTGGATTTTTCCCCGCTTGCGAGGAAAGACCCTCCTGAGTTCTCTTATGCCGTGTGAGCACTGAGACTTTCTGGTCCAGCTGGTGGGCAAGACACGTTGCTTCACACTGCGCAAATGCGGTACTTCTACTCCCCACACTGTGCTAGGGGCTGTGCACAACTGCGCAGGTCTCCACTCTGCCCAACACTTGATCTGGACCCTTTGAGGCCTCTGCATCTCCCACATCTCTAATGCTTTGCCCTGTGAGTCCTGCAACCTTTGTGTCATGGACTGCTGGACTCAGCCTCGGTCCCTGCTCCACAGGTGGCCTGGAGGCCCCCCAGGCAGGGAGGTGGACCAGCCCTGGCTTCCTGCTGCCTTCCTACATCCAGAGCTCATCTGCCTTTGCTGCCTGACACCCAGGGTCTTGGATCCTGCTGCTGGGTCTGTTTGCTAGGTGTCCTTCGTTTCAGGCGGCTCGATTTCATCCAGGACGGTGAGGCCAGTCCCTGTCACCCTAGCATGACCAAAACCCTCTACCCTGCTTTGTGGATAACAGACCAGCTTTGGTCCATCTGTACCTGGCAAAGGGTGAGGAGATCTTTGAGCTGTGCCATCTTTGATCGGCACTGTGGACTAAATCAGGACATAACAGACTTAGCTCCTGAAATCTGAAATTAGTGTGTGTATCTGAAACACTGACCTCTAAAATTAACAATGAGATTCGTCTTAGAGGTGCAGCAAACCTTGCAATATATATGTATATTTTTTGGTACCGGGGATCTTACTTGGGACCTTGCACATGCGAGGCAGGTGCTAGACCCACTGAGCTAAATCCCTGGCCCAAACCTTGCAATATTAACTAGTGGTAATGATCGTGAACATTATTTCTAAATGACTGTGATCAATGTCCTATTTTTTGTTTTAACATGGTGTGGTGCTCAGTCAAGTCTTTTCGGAACAGAGTTTACCCTACCAGTTCCCACTGCTCTTCATTCCCAAGGTTCCCTCGCATCGGTACCCACCATATTGAGCCACAGTGGTCGGTTTAACTGTCAGCACTATGTGCTCGGCTTGGTGCTCCTGGAGGACAGGGGCTGTGCCTGACTCCTTCACAGTGAGACCACGACCGAGTCACTGATGAAATTCTAGTGCTCAGGCAGACTGTGTTCATCCCTCAGCGCCACTTCCCGGAAGTCGAGGGAACCTAGCCAGGGTCTCAGCCTCTCTGAGACAAAGTTACCTTATCTTACATGGGATTGATGATAAGTGTCACCCCATTTAATCTGTCCTGCTATTGAATGAGAAATAGCACATGTAAAATTCCTTCGTATTGTAAAGCCCCATACAGAAGTGCACCCGTTAGCTGAAATGAAAACCACGCAATTCACAAAGTTTCTGACACTAAGCAGATTTGGGGGAAATATTTGCTGAATGCATGGGTGAGTAGTAAGGGGGAAAGCAGGTGGAAGGAGCCTGTACCTTCGTATCCCATACTTGCTGATCTTGCTTCTATCTTTTCTCTTCCTGGGCTAGGTCATTTCAAGCTCGTTCATGCTTCAGGCGTGGCTGTCCTCTGGCTCCTCTCGACATCTTTCTGGGTCCTGCCACCCATCCCCATCTGTCTCCTCTGAGTGTCTGAACCACAGGTGTCTTTGGTGTTCACTTGGCCCTGAGCTATGTCCTCAGACTGTTTGATTCGAGAGCACAGCTCGGAAGAGTCTGCATTAAAAAGAAGGCTCTTTTGGGATAGCTAAAAAAAACACATAAAACACACTTTGGTGAATATTTTTAAAGTAATAAAAATGTGTGTATTCCACAAGGTTTTCATTCAGCCCCAAGATGTTTTCAAAATGAAGTTGTCTTTCTTGTGAAAGGCCTCCTGAAGAGCTGGAGCTTCATCAAATTGTAAGCAAAGAGGAGCCATGGCCTGAAGGGTCTTGTGAGGTTTTCTTGTTAATTCCAAGCAAGAGGTATTTTGCTTTGGACTTGTTTTTTTTTTTGTTTTGTTTTGTTTTTGGTACCGGGGATCATTGAACTCAAGACCTTATGGTTGTGAGGCAGGCGCCAGAACTCCTGAGCTAAATCCCCAGCCCAAGAGGTGTTTTGCTTTGGAAGAGAGGCACTTTTACTAAACAGGGTCTAATATTAGTTAACCTTTTATAGTTCTAAGGCATAATTAGGATCCAAGACATTAGCTTGGTAGGAGGATGGCTAAGAATTCTGCACATAGCAGAGGAGTGTGTTACAGCTACAGCAAGGTAATTTTAGTTGGGGTGGTATTCACACACCGACTTGAAGTTATTATTTTAATGCGTTGTCATGGAATGAAAGTATGCATCCTCTGAAATTTCATATGTGGCAATCCTAACCCTTAACTTGATGGTATTAGAAGGCAGGGTTTTTGGAAGGTGATTTAGGTCAAAGAGTGGAGTTCGCATGTATAGGATTATACAGGAGGTGTCAGAGAGGTTTCTAGTCCTCTTTCTGCCACTCAGTGATTCGGTAACCCCAAAGTAGATCCTGCCCAGAACCCCACCATGCCGGCACCCTGATCTCAATCTTCAAGCCTCCAGGAGGGTAGGACATCAGTTTCTGTTGTTTATGAGCTAAAGTACTTTTGTGGCAGCCTGGACTGACTAAGACAGTGTGCATCAGAAGATTATTTTTTGCATCAAACCTCTGATCTCAAGAAGGTTATTAAATAATAATATTACACGAATAATTGAACGGGTTTTGAAGATGAGCCATTATGAAAGTGGGGCAGGAAATAAATCTAAATTGAGGAATTCCCCACGAGGCCTAGCTAAGGTGTCACCCGGGACACCACCTGATTTCTGTCCATTCATCTGCACACCTTCATTCAGCAGCTGCGGAGGGCAGCTTCACTCCGCCCGAGCTGTGCTGTGCGGACGCCCCCCAGGCTTAGCGCAGGTCCCCCAGGCTTAGTACAGAGCCCCCCCGCCAGGCTTAGCGCAGGCCCTGGAGCCCGCGGCCCAGACCCCTCTCCCCGCTCCACACTCGTTGTCTGTGCAGTCTGGCCCTTTTTCTAGCACCCGGGTCCCTGCTTGCTTCTCTGTCAAAATGGGGTGATGAGCAACACCTGGCTCCTCCTAGCGCTGAGGCGTCAAGGGATAACACACACCAAAGGTTTAGGGTGGTGGTAACACACAGTAAGCATCCGACAGATTTAGCTAATTGTCAGGGTTTTAGTTACGGTGAGCCCTGTGTGGTCTAGGGACGAATCACATCCATCTCTTCTAGGGGCTTGAAGTCTTACATCAGATCAAGGCCAGTGGCAAGGGAGGAAAACTAGGGTACAACAGAGTGAATTCTGTGAACCTCCTGGGCCCCAGCTTGGCTAGACGCTGGAATCAGCCTCACAGACTCTGAAACCAGTCCCAGTGCCCAGACCTCCAAGGGGGCCAGAATTCCTAGAGATGAGGCCCCAGGGTCACTGCTTTCAGAGCTCTCCGTGGAGCTGTGCACCATGGGAGGGCTGAGGGGAGGGCTGAGGGTGAAGCAGCATTTGTCCTGGGCAGGGGAGCCCACGTTACAGGTGGTTGTGCTGGGGTGGTGCGGATGGAGAAGGGCGGATGGAGGAGAAGTAGGGAAGGCGAGGTGCAGCGCGGCTGGAGAGGTTTGGAGGAGCAGGCTGTTCAGTGCAGCTGAGGAAAAGGGGTCAAGCAAGGCCAGGTTCTTGGAAGAATAACATGGAGTCAGACTGAGGATGTGCTGGGCGTCAGCTTGAGAAGGTGTCCGGGCCCCAAGAGCTTTGGTGGCTGCAGCGGGAGGGCAGCAAGGGAGGGAGGACTGACAGGAGCGGGAGTGGGGGAGGCTCCGCCGCGCAGGCGCAGAAGCGATGTGGCACGGTGGCCCACAGCAGAGAGGAGGTGCGCAGTCGTCAGGGGGACCAGGGCCCCTGCCAGGCGAGGAGAGGACAGCGTTCTCCCCCATCCTCCCGAACCCACATACCCGAGGGCAGAGAACAACAAAAGAACAGATCTACAAGGTCCGCGGGACACGAGTCAGGTCAGGACTTGGTTCCAGAAGGAACCGGGAGGCATGGTTTGAAAGTCGTGAAATTGACATTTTAAAATTGGCCCTTGCTGGGCTTTGAATCCTTGCACGTTTAGGGATGTGCTGATCTGTCAGGAAGGATCGGGAAAGAGCTACTTAGCAGGTATCGACCACCTTGATCCAGGCCCTGGGGGTTCCGACCCAGTCACTGTGCTCAGGGAACGGAACTTCTGTGGAGAGAGAAAACCCGAACCAAACCAAAATACAGATCAACCAATGAAGCCGGCACACGCCTCAGGCGGTGAGGACTGCTAAGGAGAAACGGACGGGAGTGGGCGTGGAGGGAAGCGGGGCACTGGATACTTTGGACAGTCGCTGAAGCCCTCCGGGAAGCTGAAGCCACGCTCAGACCGACCCTGGCCCCCGATCAGGGGCTCCCTAGCGCTCCTCGCTGAGAGCGGAACGGTTCTTTAGGTCCCGCCCAGCGTCTGCGCAGGGCAGTTTCCCTACAGGTCACAGGAGGCTGTGATTCTTCTGGGATCCCAGAGCTGGACACACAGGGAACAGTGGAACTCAGGAGGGGAAACACATTGTTAGATGTCCGGTGTCTCCATGGACTTCAGGAGCCAGCGGGAGAACCCGGCTGTGGTGCACACTGTGTAAGCGGGGGAGGTAACTGGGCCAGAGACCTGGACAGGAGGAGACACAGTTCACAGGGGGCACAGGGGGCCACCGGCTTTTTGCCCTGCGCCGAGCCATCTGCTCCCGGTCCCTCTTCCCTGCCTTCCCAACTGCAGCTGTTCCTCAAGCCTTGGACATCAGCCCGGGATGGATAACTGCTTTGCCCTGAGCTCTTCTTGAATGAGAGTTTTATGGCTTTTCGAATGGAAGCCCTCAGCTTGAATTTGAGCCTTTACTTTGAAATATTTTTTTCTTCTTAGATTGTCACAAGAAAAGAACATAAGAGTTCTGCTAATGACATCTGATGGAGTACACGAGTATTTTCTCTTTAAGGCCAATGAAAAACCTCAGAAATTACAGAGGAAACGAACATAAAAGGACTCTGCAAGGTATGGAGGAGAAGGGAGACCAGCTAGGAACCTGGGAAACAACACAGTGGTGAATTCCCTTGGCCTTAAATATCCTACACTGAGAGTCAAAACACCAAAGGGAATTGTAAAAAACCAAGTCTTTCTCCAAAGCTTGGTCTCTCTAACCAAAGGTCAGTCTAGCGAGATAGAACTTTTAGACACATACAGCAACTGAACCGGATAGAGGATCCAGAAATAGACCCACACGAGTACGTCCAACTGATTTCTGACGAAGGTATATAAAAGCAATGAGGGAAGAGTCTTATGGTTTAAAGTGATGTGACATCCACAGAGGAAAAAGAAACCTCAATCTGTCCCACACCTTACACAAGAAATAAGTTAAAACACATCTTAGATCTGAATATACAATATAAATACAAAACTGTTAAGGAAAAAGAGAAAACTTCTAGGGTTTATATTTAGACAAATAATTCCCAAATTTGATGCTAAAAGCAAAATTCATGAGGGAAGAATGACAGGTTGGACTTACCAATTAAACGATTTTTCTCTGTGAAATATCCTAATAAAAGGATGGAAAGACAGTGCAGGCAGTGGGAGAAAATATTTGCAAGCCATGTTATCTGACAAGGGACTAGTATGTTGGATACGCAAAGAACTCTAAAAATTCAGCAGCAAAAGATCCCTTCACACTACTTCCACAAAAAAAAAGACCAAAAGACAAAAATCCAATGAGAGAACATTATAATGAGACACTTCACTGCAGAGGATACATGCAGGTGGCAAGAGGATTTCACTTTCATAATTCATTACAGTAAAACCACAATGAGATAATCAGCGCACACCAATCAGAATGGCTAAAATAAAAAGTAGTGACAAGATCAGAGGCTGACAAGGATGTAGAAAAACTAGATCACTCTCACAATGCTTGTGGAAATGTGAAATGTATTTACAGTAGCTCCAAATCAGGGACAGCAAATGTTTTTCATTGGAGGAATAGTTAAGCAAACTGGTACAGGAACACCATCATCCATCAACAAAACAGGAAGGGAGGGTGCTCCGCGGTCTGGATGAAGCTCCAGCCAATCTTGCTGAGGAAAAAAGCCTATCAAAGATAGGCTTATATGGTTCTGTTTCCATAACAGTCTTTAAATAGCAAAGCTACAGGAATGGGGCACATACTATTAGTGGTCGCTAGGAGTTTAGAAAGGAGGAAGTGGGAAGGCATCAATTTGACTGTATCAGTGTCAATGCCTTGCTTGTGATATTACACTGTAGTTTTACAAGATGTTACAACTGGGCGACACTGGATTAAGAGATTTGTCTGTGTGACTTTGTACAACTGTATATGAATCTATATAATTTCAAGATTAAAAAGTTAAAATATTTTTTATAGGCTATACTGGTGGCTATATAGAGTAATAATAAAGAACCATTCCAGAAGTCTAACAATTCTGGAACAGTTAAGTTAGCATGTGGTGTTAGTATGTAGAATTAACCTACAATTATGTGATGGAATGTTTTGTAGCCATGCATTAGTTCAGGAATACAATGAGAAGGAAAATGTCCATGATAATAATAAAAATTAAATTTTATGTGTTGGGCTCAATACTAAGCTAGTTAAAAAGATCCAGTTTGGTTCTTAAGGATCCCATTAACTATATACTGTTTATAATTCCAGTTTTACTGATGAATAAGTTTGTGCATGAAAAGAATAAACACTTGCCTCAAGCCATACAGCAGAGCTGGGATTGGACCCCAGGTCCAAATGATTTCAGAGACAAAAAGTCTTGTAAGTGCCACCGTGCCTTAACTTGGTCACATCCTTTCAGGAGTTAGTTAAACACCTTTCACCAAGGGCTTCCAAGTTCCCTTCCCTCCATCCCTCTTCCTTACTACCATATTTCCCTGAAAATAACACCACGTCTTACATTAATTTTTGCTCCAAAAGGCACAATAGGGCTTATTTTCAGAGAAGGTCTTATTCTTTCATGTACTCCAACCTACATTTATTTATGTACAAAATCTACATTTATTCAAATACAGTCATGTCATCTTCTGGAACATCATCATAACTCTCCAAGCTCTGGTCCGAATTTCTTGCAACTCCATTTCCTGTAGAACCATTGGACCCTCTCTCACGTCCAGCAACAGAGCTCTCCTTCATTCGGCACTTCTTGTCCATGTAGTCTGCTCGTAGTGCATTGGCAACACAGCTGTCAGTGATTTCATCCCATGAATTCTTCACCAAGTCACAGCCTCTTGCAGGCTGGGGTTCACTAAGTTTCCATTAAATCAAGGTTAATTGAAGACTTATGAGGCAGGAGGGGCAACAAAAATAATGAGAGTTGACAATGATGCTCCACTCAAAAGTGATGAAAAACTGCAGGCACCAAAATTCAGAAAACGTTTCTTTATTTCACACAGTGTATTAAGTACAGTACGTCTGTTACAACACATGATGCATTGAATTATGAAGATTCCTATCAGGCGCAACCATGTCCGTTTGTCATCAAGTGCACATGTTGTTCATGTGCTGTGTCTGTACTCTGACTGCTCATTCAGCAATAAGTCTCCAAGCCGGATGTGGTGGTGCACGCTTGTAATCCCAGCACTTGGGAGGCTGAGGCAGGGGGGTTATTGAAAGTTCGAGGCTAGCCTGGGTTACATAGTAAGATTCTGTCTCAAAAAATAAGTCTCCAGTTCATCTATATACCTCTCGTCCAAAGGCACCTGCTTATTTACAAATACTTAATTTTAATTTACATTATAATTTATTTAAGTATTAATGTCAATATTTATTTATATTTAATCATCTACCAATATTATTTTATAATTCAATACATCTGTCATGTGTTGCAAAGGACATACTAAATGCATCTATCTGGCTATTGATCTTATCTGGGCTTATTTTATGAGCGTTTTAGAGTAGGGCTTATATTATGAGCATCCTGAAAAATCATGCTAGGGCTTATTTTCTGGTTAGGGCTTATTTTGGGAGTAATATAATACATATTTTCCCACCTTGTTATCATTAACTATGCAACTTATTTTACCCCAAAACATGGGAATTTATTAGTGTATGGTAATACCTCAAATCTATGGAAGTGAAGTACTTTTAAATAAAAGATGTAGGGACCACAGAGCAACTATCTGGGGAAAAATGCTAACCTGGTGTCACAGCTCAGCTCTACACCAGAATGAAATCAAAGTGAATAAAAATACTAGAAGAAAATACAGGAAAAGTTTTATAGTTTTGGATTGAGAAGGTTGTTGTATCTATGACTCGAAATTGAGAAGTCATGAAAAGAGTGATTGTAAAAAATCCAAGTGTTTACAAAAATATTCATTCAGCTGGCTGGGATAATGAAGGCACTCATACATTGCTGATAGGAGTATAAACTAATTCAGTTCTGACAGTGGGTGATTTGGCATTGACTAGAAAAACTTTTAAAAGGATATATTACCCAGCAACTCTATTTCTAAGAGCTGATTCTAAACCTAAATTCATATATGTGTGAAATAACAAATGTACAAAGTTATTCAGTAGAGAAGTTAATAGCAAAAGTTTGGAAACCCGTCAAAGGGGTGCTGGTTAAATAAATCATGACACATCTGCTCAGTGGAATATTCCATAGGCATTAAAAATGAGAAAGCTCTTTATGTACAGGTATAGAAAGTATTGTTAACTGGAAAAAAATCATGAAGCAGAACAGAGTGCATATTATATTATCATTTGTGTAAAACAGAAAAAATAAGAACATATGTCTAAGGAAATCCTAGAAAGGTATATATATTAAAAATACAGGCAGTGATTATCTATTGGAGTGGCACTGATGGGCAGGTATACCACTTCGTAATTTTTTGTTTTGAGCCAAGTGAGTGCATTACCTATTAAAATTATTATTAAAACTAAATGTGCGTTACTGATTAAAAGTTAAAAAAAAAAATCCCAAGGCTCAAACTCAATGCGGTTGGAAGGAGGAACCAGCCTCAGGCCACCATTTGCAGCTTGCAGTGTAGAAGTACATTTGTAGAATAATCTTTGTGCTTGACTACAAATGTGGCCTTGCTCTTCTTACCAGGCTTCCAGATCATCCTCAGCAAACAGACATTTTAGAGAGAAGCAGAAATGTTCTCCAGGAAATACCTGGGAACTCCTTTTAAGAAAACAGGTGTTCATGTGTCCGTTTGTATTTCATCACTGTGTAACAGGCTTATGTACTTTTTTCCTTTCTGTTGGCTTCAAAGAGCAAACAGACAGGAACCCTAGGTAAGCAATCACGATTTGTCAGGTTGAAAAATAACACTGCCCATCCTAATTTGACTGTCTATAATGAAGCCCACGTGGAACTCTTGGCACTTTCCTGCAGCTATAAATTGTCAGCTGGATTTCAGCCTCCTTTGAGCAAGGTCTTACACTGTCAAAGAGAGAATATAAGGGATCCAGGAGGGCAGAGGCCGAAAGTCCCTCTCCGGAGCTCCGTGATGGGTCTGTCTCACCTGGATGTGGCTGCGGTGCCCACTGCTTCTGAATCTTCATCCCTGCAGTCGGCGCCTCGGAATGCAGAGCAACACAGGAACATTTGTCTGAAATGCATTGAGGGCACCGAAACCCTCCACTCTCCTCTTTTCCATCTGTTTGAAATTTGAGCCACGTGCTGCCTGGGATGAAAGGGAAACTTCGCCTCTTCTCCTCTTGAGTGTCACAACGACACAAAGGGTTTAATTTTCCAGGCAACAGGGGCCTCTGGATGGTCATTAAGGCTTCACTTTTCTTCTTCACAGAGTATGGTCACCTGTGTGGAGCCATTACAGATTCAGGAAGAAAAATTGGGTTTGGTTAATTCTTAAATTCCTCCAATTGGCCTAGAAAGGAAAGTAAATCAGCAAGCAGGGAGGAATGCTAAGACCAAATGCTAAAAGCATTTTGTGGACACTCAAAGTTTCCTAAAACACACTGACTTTTTTTTTTGTTTTTACTCTGTTAAATAAAGCTCAAAGTCACCAAAGGAGGTCAATAAATATATATATCAACACAGAAAATCTGTCTTTTTTATTTTCCCACTACTTCTACCCAATTAACACCAACTGATAAAAACGCACTTGTATCTTTTAAGCCCATGACAAAAGCAAGAACAGAACCCAAGCAGTACAAGCACTGGAAAGGCCTCATATGTCAGGACTTCGGCTCATTCACAACAAAATTTCTCTTTTGGATTGTCTTCTGAGATGGCTTCATAGCAACTATAAATGCACTTAGAAAGTGTCATTTCTGAACAAGGAATTGCCACACAAGCTTTGGATCGCCTAGTTTGGGAATTACTGTGAGAGAAACATAACTTCTTGCTGGAGCTTCTGTGTAGCTAGGGACTTGTGACAATTTCTAGTGAGATTCACTATATTTCAGCCTCACGTCATGGCCTAGTGGAGAAATCAAGACATTTTCTAGATGGTGGCATTTTCTTCTACTTGGGTGGTTCCCTACACTGCTCCTTTTATAAAAAAGAGAATATATATAGATAAATACAACCATTACACCATTATGAAAAGACTTTTTCTATTAACAATTACATTGTTTTTTATTCCTTACTCCTCTTTGGGTGAAAGAAAAGATATGTGGACATGGAGACCACTTTTACCCAAACTAAATTATTCTGTATTCTATGCTATGTGTGACTGTCTTCATATATCACATTTTATCTCCATGTCATCCTTGTTGCAGTACACATGTTAGGACGTACTGCAATCAACAGAGAACCCCTTCCGGTGGACTTTTCAAATTTTCTCAAGTTTTCTCTTATAAACAATGCTGGAATTACTTAAAAACAAGTTTTGTGGTTAAAATTTGCTCAACTTCTCAATAAATTCTTGAATATAGACTGGCTCATGCAAAAAAGATGTGTTGGTTAAAACTTTAAAATTGTGTGCTGCCAAAATCTATAGTTGAAGCAAGCTTCATAGTGATCCAAGTGCTTAGCTGAGAAATTATCAGAGGCCTCAGAGAGAAATGAAATAAAATATTAGAATGTAAAACCTAGATTTTAATCATCCTGTGGCATGCTTTCTAAGAGGGGAATTTAAGCTGTGTGATGCAAGACCTAAAATTTTCCACTTACACATTTTCCTTCCTCTTTTTGGAAAGAGAGAGGACACATTGTTACTTTTAGCTTCTTATTTTACTAATAGAACCAAGAGAGACTGAAACATTCAGTTTGAAGTCTTCCTTGTATATCATAATCTCTATACCTGTTTTACTGCTCTGTAGACATAAATTCAGTGTATTAAAAACTCATCTTTCATCTCCCAGCAGAAGCCTGACAGAACTTCTGCATGGCGAATCCTCACTAATCCCCAGCTGCTGCATACTGTAATGTGAAGACGGCGTATTTGTGAGATTAAATAAACCATTTGTTCCTGTGACCACAAGCGGAGAGAGTAGAAAGAAATCAATCAAGGAAAGCAATTTCTATGTGCTTCCTATAAACAGAGGTTTTCCATTTTCTCTCTCAGCACTTCTACTACAGGAGTAGTGAATTTGTCAACTTGATTTTCAATGGCTCATGAAAGGTGGGTATTTAGGAATGAAATGTTCCTCTCTTGCCTCTTTTTTTTGGGAGCGGGGGCAGAGGTTATTATTTTGGAGACATTCCTAAGGACACACAAGTTAGCATGCTCTTAAATGAAGTCCTCTCAGGTAGGATTTGAAATGGAAAAATACAGTTGCCACTGGGAAAGAGTAGGTGGAGAGAGATTTTGAGGTAGATCGCACAGGCAGAAGGATTTGTGTTAGATGCCTGGGTTCCATTAGTTCCAACACATGCAGCCCCTACGCCGACAATGGCATTTCATAGTTACTGGAGGAAAAGTGCCCAGCATTAAAAAACAACAAAGCGAAACTGTCTCAAATACAAAAGCTAACAACCCACAGCCTAGATCATGTTTGTCATGTGTTTAATAAACACGTCCCAATAGTGAGAAGATGGCTTTAAATGCTGCCGGCATCAGGGTGCAGATTTCTAAGAATTGTTTAGGCTTCTACAAAAAAAGTCACACATTTTTCCTTGCATTTTTGGACAAATCTCTTTCCTGATGCTACCCATATTCCATTTTAATGATCACTCTTCTATTTTTTACCGCAAAAGTCTGTTTATTTGATTGATAATCATTTTTTAGGCCCTGGAACCATTTGCTCATTTACTTTTCTTTCTTATAGTTAAATTTTCCACTGAAAATGACAGCTTCCATGAGCTGCACTGTTCTGTCCATATCAGAACCTAAAAGTTATAGTTTTGGCTCAAAGAAACCGTTCACATGTTTGTTGAATGAATAAAGAAAGTTCTCGCCTCTCTTATTTATTGCTTAACATCTGCTAATTGGCTGATCCTCAGGCCCCAGAATTACAGTCTGGTGACCACACAGTCATCTAAGTAGCTTTAAGTTGTGGTAAATGCTATCAGGAGACAAAGTAGCCTGTGATGGGTGTATTTGTTGACACTCAACTCTACTACAGGAAAAATCACAATGCAAGTGTTATAATGAAGAACGCACATGGCTGCCCTGGTAGGTGGGATAGGAAGGGCTGGACTGGGGGAGTGGAAGTGGACATCCCACGTCAAGGGACAGGCGCCCCTCGCATCCATCGGGGAATACTGAATACAACTTCCTACTTTTCAGCAATGTCTAAAATGAGGGATTGTGCTGAACTATCATCATTGTAAAATATCGCTAACTATCGATCTTAAACACAGTCAATAAATTAAAATATTTAGAATACTGTGTAGGCCAAATAAAATATCTGTTGACCAGATATATTCTACAGGTGGTTAGCTGTCAACCTGCGGTCTGAACGCTTAGCTGAGTGTTTGCTAGAAGAGCTCTTCCAGGAAGGTGGACCCTCCTTCTTAGATGAGAACGCTTGGAACTCTGCAGATAATTAAGTTTCAGAAATACTTGGAGGAACAAAGTGAAACGGACATGCTTGCTGCAGGACTTCTCAGAGCCTTTGTGAGGCTGGTGTCTATTGTCTATTGTGAGCCTTTGGGAGAGAGCGCAAAGCAAGTAGGGATGGAGCCCTATCTCAGCAGACTGATGTTCTGCACATCAGTTCTGGAAGTACTAGCTTCAGAAATTTTAAAAGATATGTGATGTTTAAAAAGCTTCAGAGTGCTTTCTTGTTTCGTGCTTATAAGCACTGTGGTTAAGTGTGTGGGTATTGGTGACAAATTCCAGCCCTCCCACTTTCTAGCCACATGATCTTACCCAAGTCGCCTTTCTGTGACCTAGTAAATGCTCATGAATTAGCTATCGTGATAACTTTTGAAGGAGAGAATCAGACGCACTAGCTCTGGGAGGAAAGATCCCTCAAAATTTCTTTTGCAAATTCAACCATGATCCATGCCATACTAAAGACTGAGTTAAAGGTGCTAAATAATGGTACAAATGTATCATTCTACATCTGAGCCAAGTGAAAGCAAATATATTGCACGAGCACCCTGAGATCTCTTTCTGTGTAAAGCTGTGTTCGGCAGAGCAGATAATGCTCCAGTAACACTGCCTACCGTTCTCCAAAGAGAAACAACACGCTACGTGTCATCTCTTCTTAGCTGCTTTGCCTAACAAATGTCACACCTGGTCACTGGGCACAGGTACTGGAGGACCCACTTGCATAAGAAATAGTCGCATCCCTTAAGATGACGCCCTCAGTGTAGGAAAAATGCCACAATAGAAAGGGGTTTTCACACCTGAGATGGTGGCCATTAGTGGACTGGAAAATAACTTAGCGAGCCAACGCCGGCATTAAAAAAATAAACAGAACAGAACAGAATAGAGAATACTAGTGCGTGTTGCACGCTGTGAGAATAGTATTATTTGGGGACTCTCTGCATGTGCGAGGTCAAGAAATGAAACTTATTCTGGGCTGGGGGGAGGGGGTCCTAGTCACGTCAGAAGCTGGTCCAATTAGCTGCCTCAAATGAATTACCTTTGGGCAAAGCTGAAGTGATCTCTATGCCTCCACTCACTTAATGATTTCCAGGTACAAAGTTAGGTAGAAAAATATCCACTTTGGTGTACTGTTACAAAGATCAAAGAAGTTAACATATGCGAAACACTACATAGACTAGAAATTATGAATTATTATTTTTTATTTTTTGACTCTACCACACAGCTACTAAGTAATAGAATTTGGACATACATTCTGTTACTCAGCTTCTAACATTTGCAAATACAAAATCCCCGCGGGTGCAAACATCTCATATCAAATATTTCCTAGTGCTAAATTCATCAAAATTGTACTGTTGCAGCTAAAAATCTCCCTTTCCCCTAACTTGCATTATTTAAGGTGGATTCTCTTTTTTCACTGAACAAGTCTTTGGACAAACTGTTCTCTTTACCAATCAAAATGGCATAGCTATGTGGCCATAAAGTAAAAAACAAAACAAAATTTAAAAGCACATAATTCACTTGCCCTTCTAATTCTGGAATTAGCCAATTCATTTTTAAAAAAAATTTAATTTGGGATTAAGTTGGTGTATCTGATTTTGCACATGCAAACTTTTTTGAATTACAGTTCCTCAAATTAAATTTGTTATGCAGAGTTGTGTAAGTTGCAACCTTACTGCACAAGTTTCAAATAACTGGTAAAAATAGTCATGTCGAGCATTTAAGAGTACAGACTTCGGACACGGACAACTTTTGCTTTGCCATGCTTTAGCTGTGTGGCTTGGGGTAAGTAATTTCGTATGTCTGATTTTTCATCTGTAAAATGGTGAAAATACATAGGCTCTTTCTTGAAAGTTTTCACAGTTTCATGAGATGATTCCTTCAAAGTGATTTTATCACAGAATTTGACTTAACACATAGCAGACAGAAAAGTATTTTGGGGATTAATTTTGTCAGAAACCACCCAGGAATGAGACAGCTGGCCCACGTGGGGATATCTGGTCACTTCATGGAAAACCCAACACTTGAGAGTGAAGTACTTGTTTTGTTTTGTTCTTGCAGTGCTGAGGAGGGAGCTCTAACACTGAGCTACCTCCCATCTTTCAAATTTTACTTTCGAGACAGTCTTGCTAAGTTGCCCAGACTGGCCTTGAATTTGCAATCTTCCTGCTTCTGCCACCCAAGTAGCTGGGCTCACAGGGCTACACCACGAAACTTGGCTAAAATTTTTGATAAACAGAAAAAGAGACAGAAGAAGAGAAAACACTTTGATTCCCTGGCATCCGCATAGGCCACACATTGGCTGGCGTGACTGGAGAAATTTAAGGGCATAGTGGAAAATGCAGCTCTAATAAAAGGCATAGGAAAAGCTGTAGAAACCCTTGAATGTCAGACTAAAGAAGGAGGCTTGTGAGTATGGAAATGTAAATTTGAATATAACTTTACAACTTCTGTACCTTTCCCCCCCAAGTTACACTTGTGCCTCTTGTTAGATTTAATGATGCTATCTTTTTTTTGGTACCGGGGATTGAACTCAGGTCCTTACCTTGTGCAGCAGGTGGCTAAACCACTGAGCTAAATCCCTGGCCCAGTGATGCTATCTTTGACAGTTATGGTTAAGAACTAAGGAGATCAAAGGTAACAAGCCTAAAATTGGAGTTGTAGGCAGGGAGGAAACCCATGTTACTAAAAACAGCTAGTTTTTCTCTTTTTCAAAACGCAGTTTCTGTGTGCTGAATATTTTACGTGACTTATGTAATTTAATTTTCACAAGTGTGAATAACGTGAGAATGTGCTGATGATATCATTATCCTTACTTTGCCTATGTTAGTCACTTTCCCTTCACTGGGACAAAATACTTGACACCTGCAATTAAAAGCAGAAGAGGTTTCCTTTGGTTCACAGTTTCAGTGGGTTCAGTCCATAGCCAGCTGGCTCCAAGGCAGGAACCTCTTGGCAGAAGGGCCTGGCGGAGGAAAGCTCCTCACATAATGGTAGCCAGGAAGCAGACAGAGAGGGAGGGCCCATGGACAGGAACACACCCTTCCAGGCCACGACCCCAGGGACCCACCTTGTCTGACCAGGCCCCACCTCCCAACAGCATACTCAGCTATGGAACTCATCAATGGATAGATCCACTGATGAGTACAGCGCCCACATGATCCAATCACCTTTCAAACACATGCAAATTCTGGTGGACATTTTAGATCTAAACCATAGCATTGCCAATGAGGAAAATGAGGCTCAGAGAGGTAAAGTAGCTTGCCCCAGGTTGTACAGCCAGTAGATGTCAGGCAGAGTGCAAACCTAGCCTACTTGACGACAGGACTTAGGTTTTAATTCACTACTTAATTCCATGTAGAAAACCATTCTTGAGACAGTGGTTGTTTGAGTCCGATTCTACCACTAATCAGCAGTGGCAGGAGACGGTTTTGCTGTTCACTGAGCTGAGGACACCCAGTGGACCAGCTGTGGTCAGGTGATCCACGGAGAGCTCAGTTTTGGACACACTGATGCTGAGGTGCTCAGTGAATATGCATTGGAGCTGTGGACATTCAAGTAGGCACGTGGAAGAGGCAGCCGGGGTAAATGCAGGCAAGAGAAATAAGAGCACATTTGGGACTCTACGGCAGAGAGCTAGGTTTAAACCTAGGGCAGGGGAGCGGGGAATTCTTCAAGGAGGTGAGTGTAGTACGGGAAGACATCTAAGAGTGAGATCTTGGGAGCTCCAACACGGGGGTGATAAGATCCATCAGGGAAACTGAGGAAGAGTGGTCAAGGGTCTGGGGGACCAAAACCCAGCGAGGGCAATGCTTCAGGAAGGAAGGAGGGGCCACCGCATCAGTCAACTGAGATCAAACCCACTTGGATCTGCAGTGAGACTTAGGGGATTTGGCAGCTGTGATGAGGGGAAGAGAGAGGTGTAACATCAGGGTGGTTTTGACCAAAGCCTGAAGCGAATGTATTCAAGGGAGAAAAGAGGGGAGGAGGCAAATTCATTGAAGATGGTACTTAATACTTGTAATGTTGCCTGAGTGAATTTGAGGGCCACTACACCTATCACAGCATCCCTTGTACATGATGTCTCTTACGAGATGACTTGCTCTTCAAAGGCTGGGAACATGATTTACCTCCCATGCCTTGCACAAGGTTGGTGTTCAAATGACAAATGAAGAACTTCACTAAATTTTGCAGAGAAAAAAAGCATTGTTCTGTGAAGCTGTACATTGCAACACATTAGGTATGCCTCTCTCCTACACGGACTCCTCTGGAAGAAATGCGTGGATTATAGAAGCTTAGTGTGCTCTTTCTTTCTTTCTTTCTCTCTTTCTTTCTTTCTTTCTCTCTCTCACCAATAAAGCTCAAATTTCCACTATATGATCATTTGTGTGTGTACGATGAACCTTTTAAATAGTCATTTTAGAATTCTGGTTCAGTTGGGGTGGGGGCAGGGGGAACATTCTCATCCCTGCCAGCACGTTGGATGGTGTGAATCGCAGCTCAGTGAAATCTTTCAGGCATATAATTTATCTTTTCTTTGGCTTATGTAGTAAATGCTTCATTTGTTCATGAATTCTTGCCCTGTTTTAATTATGCTATGCTCTGAATGTAGTTTTATGAGGCACAAAAATAAGATTGTCATTCTGAAAACACAGAAGATTTGTGTGTTTCTCCCGGGATGAAATGGTGGCATCTCTCTCCTAATTCACAGCTCTGTGGTTTTGTGGTTGGAATTCCAATCCGGGGGGGGGGCAATGAAAGTGGGAGAAGGGCTGGTGTGGGTGGGAGGGGACCAACAGCTGACCGGCTCGGCCCAGGCATAATTTACCCTAAGAATTCTGAATCAATACATTGACACCCATCTATCCATAATGTGGTTCTCCCACCAAGAAAGCCATTGATTGAAAAGTTTTATTCATGTTACTTTCTGAGGACTGCACTGTCTCATGACACTTATAGCACAATTGGTTTTACCCCCAAATACAGAATGGCACAGCCAGGGTTCTGATGAGAAAGCTTAACAAATCAGAGGTCTATTTTTTTATATTAAAAAACCTCTGCAGATGTAGGTATATGAATAGTCACAAGTTCACTTGTGAACTGAAGAAGTGGTTATTTCCTAACTTTTTAGTGTCTTATATGTACACAGTAAAGAGAGGACATTTAATATTTCAAATTCCGACGATATCACTAACCAAAAATGGAAATTTGCAGTGTAGCAAAATCAGGTACAGATCTCATTAGTCAGTCTGAGGGATCTAGCCCACTTATTCAAAAAGGAGGACAATTTTTTGGTACTCTAAGATTATTGTAACTTGAAAATACTACTCCAGGCTTGACTGTATCAGATACTTGTTCTGTCTCCCACAGAGGTGCCACCTTCTGATTCGACTCATCCTGAGACCCATTCCATTCAAACAGGGGACCTTCACGCCCCCAGGAAGGGTAGCTGAGCTAATAAACCGAAACTCTAAACATTTCCCTCCCCTTTCCTTAGACCAGAAATGGATGGTATATGCTGAGCAGTTATGGTTCAGTAGGGTCTGGGGTAGCTATCAAATGCTGACCTGGTTTGCTTAATTAGGACAGGGATTTGGATGAGTGGCTGAACAACTGCCAGAAGACAGGTAAAGTACAGTCCTCCATTCTCTTCCTGTAAATAACACCATCCTTTCCTAACTCAGCCAATGATGGGCCCTAAGTGGCCACGCCAAAGAAGCACTGAGTATTTACAAAATCACTACCTCCAAATAGCTTTAGGAGCCCATGACCAATAATTAGAGCTCGATGGTTTCTCTACTCGGGGAAAGGTAGTAAACATTTTCTGAAATAGTCGAGAATACTGATGACCGCTTTATATTCTCCAGACAGGAGATTCTCAGGCTCCTGGCTTTTCCACCTGATGGGATGTGGGCGGTGGGGCTGCTTCCCCGGACATCCCCTCCACACCCTGCCTTCCGGCGGAGCCTGTGCCACCCTGACTGGCAATCACAGCTGTATTTGTTCATCGACCCTCACCAGACAGCACACTCCGCGAGGGCAGAGGCTCTGTGTGCCATCTGTCACCCGTGCCTGGCCCAGTGTCACACTCAGAAAGAGCTGATGTTTGGATGTATCTGAAGACCCATTTCTGAATCACACAACAGCTATTTTAATTGGCTCCTCACACTGCTACAGTTTGGGACATGGCATCTGCAGGGAAACTTTTTAAACTTCTGAAAGAAATTTTGAAAATAAACTCTGAGTCCAAATTGACAGAAAGAGCAAGAATGCTGACAGTAACAACTTCAACACATGAGACTTAGTATCTTTTCTCAATTACAACTGTCCACAGTTTTCAGCTGGTTCTGACAGTCACAGTATAATTCTTTTTTTTTTTTTTTCAAACTCGGGACCTTGAGCTTGCGAGGCAGGCGCTGGAACCACTGAGCTAAATTCCCGCCCCACAGTATAATTCTTGATGCTACCCTGGGTAGCATCACAGGTTAATGTGACACTCATTTTCATTAAGTAAAATAATGTATGTTCAGTGCTTAGAACAGAAGCCAGCCTGTGATAAGCACTCGATAAATGATAGCCAGTGTTATTATTAGCATCTTGGGGCACACAGCTACATTCGAAAGGCAAAAACATTGTCAACAGTGATAAGTAACCACATTGTAAAACACTTAGCCCAATATAATGTTTCCCCCTTTTCAATGAACCGGAGGCACTCAACTTTATTCTTAAATTTTGAAAAAATTCTTATTTAAAAGTCTGTTAACAACAAAAAAAATCAAGCACCTTAAAAACACGGTGCATCAATTTTTATCTCTTTCTACATTCAAGAATTCATTCAAGCTCTCTCAAGGTTAAATGCTTTTTTAAAATATCAACAAAGCTTGCCTTTTCCTTTGCTCAAGAAAGAAAACAACTGATTCAAGACACCTCCTTGCAAAAACATTTAGTTTTTACAAAAGTACTGTTCTAGCTCCCTGGAAAATAATTAGTACATAAAGTAGTCTGTCTAGACCTGTAAACCTGCATATTGGTGCAAAAGAAAAAGATCGCCCAGGCTATGACAAGCAAGGGATGAAATGCGTCCCCACTAAAGCCACAGAGATGCTGTGTGTTAAACAGTCTGTTGAGACGGGGCTGGGTACTTAGGTCTTTTAGAACCATTTTTATTCCACTAATGCCTTTCTGCTCAGACTCCATTGATCATAAATGTAACCTGTCTCCCTTGGCCTCTGATAAATGGAAGGATGAGTTCATCTGTATGTAACTCACCTCCGCTTTTCTTCAACATAAAACACACACCACGGCTGTTATTGTTCTTTAAACAGATGTTGCTGCCCACAGGGACACTGGGGGAGACACTAGTTGGCTGCGATTCATCCTAGGGGGCCAGGAGCTTGACACCTCGCCTAGGACCCTGGATGACTGCAGGACTGTGCATGCGGGGTGGCCTTACCCCATCCGGGACCCCACATATGCACGTGCCACAAAGTGGAGAGTCGCTCTGCACACTTACCTCCCCTGTCTGCACACCGCGGGACTGCCGGGACAACCCCGGGACCTCCTTGGCCTCCACCGCGGCTGGATGCTCCGCCTTCTTGGCTTCCTGCTGGTCTTCAGCTGCTGCCTTTTCCCATCCCTTGTCCAGCTTGAAAAATTTGTCGAAAAAGCTGGAGTCCTTGCGCTTGGAGGGGGCCTCGCTCACTAACTCAGGTGGGAGAGGAGCCTGTGTCCCGGTGGCCGGCAGGCCCTGGTCCCCGGCTGGGCTCAGCCCTGGGCTTTTATCCATGGCCGGCCCCGGTGCAGCTGCTCCGAGAAGGGCCGGGCTGTCACTCGGGTCTTTGTTCGCTGGAGTCGTGTTGGAGCTGACATCAGGCTTCGCTGCTCCCGTGGATGAATCCATGCCTTGGTCTCTGGTACGTCCTGGTACAGGCCGAGAGAGTGTCAAGAAAAAACGAGATTTAGCAGCTGGGGCCTCGGGTTTGGCGCCTTTCCCAAGATCCTTTCCGCTGGCATCCGCAGCAGTGCTGTCCTCCACTGTCCTGGGGGAAGAAGTGTCCACATTGTCTGTCTGCACGCGTATTCCCAGATCGACTGTCAACACAAACATAAACAGAGGTTATTCAACAGGCCAGGAAATTCCCAGAGGAAGAATGGACTCGGAACACTTGATACACAGAGGCCTCAAGGCACGCTGGGGCTGTGCTATCCCGGCGCAGCAGGGCAGTGGACGTTTGCTGTCCCCATCCTCCTGGGAGGAGAGAAGGGGAGGTCAGCGGGGAGGAGGAGCCACTCCCGGAAAGCCGCCAGCTGTAGATGGGACCTGCACGCTCAGGTGTCTCTTTCACCTCCACGGGGAGCCGTGGGAAGCGTGTGGTCACCATTTCTGCTGCAGACGGGGCAGTGGCGCAGAGCTCGGGCTCAGGAGCTAGGACAGGGTCTCCATGGAGCTGCAGACCCCTGGGTCAGCGTGTGCTTAACGATGGGGACCTGGCCTGTGAATTACCAGATCCTCAGAAGAGGTTGGGACAGCTGAACACCTCTGCGGGCCTTGGCAGACCCTCCCTGGGGACAAAAATCATTCACGTTGAGAACCATTGTGTTAGAATATGGATTTGAATCCAAGTTATTTAATTTTTCTCTACTTCAACTTTCTGAAACAATGATACAATCTATCTCATAGTTTTGTTACCAAGATTACATAGGTCCATATTTTTAAAGTATATAGAACAGTGCCTAGTACATAGTAAGGGCTCAATAAATGTCCTGAATGGTAGCTCCTGTCATTATTCATGAGGGAGAAAACAGACTCAGACAGGCTCGTCCACCTTCCTGAGGCTGCCCGGTAAGGAGCTGAGCCAATTCCTAACTTCATGCTCTCTTGTACTATAACGTTTTATTGCACAGATCATGAAAAGAACTGAAGATTTAAAAAGTAGTTCTCAGAAATTTTGTGCTCTGAAGTCCAGAAGAGTAGGTTCTGACCCAAGGAAGCCAGCTGACTGCAGGCCCAGTGGAAGGGGAGGCGCCGGCAGGCTGTGAGGCCTCTGCCTCCCAGGGGAGCCTTGCCAACTCCCACCTGCTTCTGCTTTAACTTCTGCCTCGATGTCACTGACCTATCTTCTCGTCTAGGTCCTTCTTAGAAAGCAGTGCAATATTTAGGGGGAAAATAGCTACAATTTTGGAATTACAAGGAAAGACTGAGAGCCTGTATTCATCAGCTATGTGACCTTGGGAAAGTCCCTAAAAATCTCTGAATCTCTGAGATATTCATAGCTCCTTCTCGGGGCTGTTCTGATGCTGCAGGGGAAACGTCACGCAAACAATCTGGCACAGGGCCTTTTCGGTTGACTTACTAAGTCAGTGCTTAACTGACAGACTCTGTGAGGGTTTTTAAAGATGTTCTCCCTGCCTCTGACACCATTACAGTATGCTTGAAGTACTGTAGGCAGATGCTTCTTAACCTCAGCCTGCAGGAAAGAGAGAGAGAGAGAGAGAGAGAGAGGAATCAAAACTTCTTTGTTGTGCTTATATTGCACGTTAATATGTGGTGATAGAGGCCTGGTATGTAGCTCAGTGGTTCTGCCACCTGCCTTGCAAGCAGAAGGACCCAAGTTCGATTCCCGGTACCAAAAAAAAAAAGTGGTGATAAATGCACACACAGGTTTTGCCAAACTCCAGCACCTCACCACGTACCAAGTCAAGGACAAATAAACAAGGAGGGAGCACTTGCTGGGTTCTGGTCCGGGACAGCAGTGTCCTCCTCGCTGGACAGGGAGGAGCAGCAAGCTGCTAGGGCAGGGCCGGCAGACCCCAAAGAAGGCACCTGCCAGTGCACTGCCCCCTCCTGCCCTGCTTCTCCCTGGCTTTTGACCCGGGCTCGGGAGTATGGATGGATACACTCCAGGAGGGAAGAGTGACGGATGGACTGAGTCGGAGCAGGCAGGTGAGCAAGCATGGCCCAGAAGCCTGACAGTGAATACTATGAGCCCGGCCATCCCTACCCAGGGCAGAGGCAACGGCTGCTAAGAAGGAGAGGCTGCCAGGCAGGACGAGGAAGGGTTTTTCAAAATGCCCAAAGCATCAACTGATTTCTCTCTCGTTTTTGTTTCCTCCTCATCCCCTGGCTCGGAACTGAATGGGTCAGTGGTAACTCAGAGCGCTACAGTCAGGGCAGAAGTCTCTGGAACACACACAGACACACACACACACACACACCCCACACCTTCCCATGGAGACTTTTAAAAAGTGCCAATGTATTGCTTTCAGTGGAGAAGATTCCAGCACATTCAGGGAGGACAGCGGAGAGAAACCACGGCCTGCTATCAGTGGGCAGGTGAAATGTCCTCACCAGCTCATTGGAACTCGGACCCCTGCACGGCCACTGTAGCTCTGACTCCTGACGGCGGCGGCTGCTGACCCACGACAGCCACCTTGGTTTCTGATTCTCTTGTGGAGCTTCTCACTTTTCACCTGGACACATGGACTAAGCTGGAGCGATTAAAATAAATACTGGGGCTTTTGCTAAATCTACGAGACCACAACTGCCCCCTTCGTGTTCGATGAACCAATGGGCTCCATCCGGAAGCAGGGGCAGACTTGGCTAGCACATTGGGGATGGACGCTCAGTGAAGAACTAATACGGAGGAAGAGCAGAGCCAGGAGACCCAGTGATAGGGTTTGGACACCTGGATCCACCTGTGCCTGAAGTTGGACTTTAGCACAACACAAGCCAGTAACGCTCCACATTAAATTGAGCATATATTCAGTGACTTGCGGAGAACCTCAGCGGACTACTCAGGACCTGTTGCACTGTTTTTCAGTAGGAATCCGCTCTCCCTTCAGGAAGCTACCTCTAGGCTTGTAACCCTTGCAGGCAGTCAGTATGGTTGGGGGGAAGAGTAGAGAGGACAAAATACAGAAAAGTGAGCTCTCCGGAAAGAGGTAGATGGGAAAGAAAATCACCGATGCTCAGTTGGCTCAATAAAAATGAAGGGAAAGATTCACTTAGGAAGAGGAGATTGCAGTGATCTGAGGGCTAAGCATTAAGAATGATAAAATATTTCCTAAAAGAAGCAGCCACACACATCTGATCTGTGTGAATTGAAGAGGAATAAAAGTTGTTGGAGCTACAGGTCTTATCCTCCAGGAAAGATGGGGGGCACTTACATGCCTTCCTCATACTACCAAGAAAGAATGAAAAATTCTTTCTGAAGACTGGAACTAAGCTTTCAATTCCTCAAGAACCCTTAGGAGAAGCTCACTATAAACCTGGTGAATAAGAGTGTTCTTCCAGAGCAGACAGACGGACGGACGACACACGAGAGATTTTACTATTCATGAAAAGTGCAAGAGTTTCAGGAAGATAAAAGGAAATCAAGAATGCAAATGGCAGCTCCCAAATAGTTAGACGATAAAGTTGAAAACTTTGATCTCTTTACTATAGAAAAGATATTTTGTGTTTAAAGGGAAATCCTTTTGTCTAGGCTTGAAGGAGGACTTACTTCCCGGAGCTTTCTCACGTGATTGTAGAGAGCTCGGGCTGTGGATCAGTGGGCCTGGCTTTGACATCGTCCCTCACTTATTAAATAGGTGACCTGGAGAGTGACTTCCTGCCATTATGCCTTAGTCTTCTTACGGAATGGCCATGGAAGTGACATCCTTCCCCAAAGGATGACTGTGAAGGTTAATACAGCACTTCCTGCAAAGCACTTAAACTTCCTAGTCTGCAGCAGATGTTCAGTGAATTGTAGTCGCTTTGGCTGTATTTATACACTGTGATTGCCCTGGTTATACAGCACTGTTACAGTTGCTACTTCACATTTCTAAATGCAAGTCAAAAGGAAACGCATTATTCCGGTGGTTTAACTTGCCAATTTGAATGTGATTGACACACTTTTTATTTTTTATTTATTTTTGGTACCAGGGATCGAACTTGGGTCCTTGCCCCTGCAAGGTAGGTGGCAGAACTACTGAGCTAAATCCCTGGCCCTGAGACACTTTTAAGAATAGTTAAGATATGAATTAACTTATCCTTACGAGTACAAGAATCTGGGACAGAGAAATTTCAGAAATGTTTGTCATTTTCTAAGCGCTGTGTCTTCTTAGACAAAACGAGGGGCTTCATCAGAGAGCTGACCTGCATTTACCTGCACAAGCATATGCAATACTCAGAATTTTTTAGGAAGAGGTATGTTTCTTCTTTTTCTTTATTGGTACTGGAGTTTTAACCATTGAGCTACATCTCCAGCCCTCTTTATTTTGTATTTTGAGGCAGGGGCTTGGTGAGTTGCCTGGTTGGCCTTGCACCTGTGATCCTCCTGCCTCAGCCTCCTGAGTGGCTGAGATTACAAATGTGGACCATTGCGCCTGGATTTTTTTTTTTTTCATATGTGAAAGCTAAAATTTTCACTTGGCACAGCTACAAAACTAGCCGCTAATATTCACCAAACGCGTCCCATGTGCTGGCATCACAGTACATAAGCTATGTAAGCAGGGCATTTAAAGTAAGTGCTACAGCACACCCACCGTTGGGTACTCTCATCACTCCCACTTAACAGGCAGGGAAACTGAGGCCCTGCGACATCAAATCACTTTCTGAAACATTTGTCCACCTCATCAGTGGTGGAACCAGGTTTCGAACCTGAATTTGTCTGATTCCAAAGTTCAAACACCTAATGGCATTTTGTAGCAGAAGCAAGAAGAGAAGAGAAAGGAGGAAGATGTAGACACAGTTTGATTACAGAAATTAGTGGATTTTTAAGAAAAATTACACATGGAGGAGATTTTCTCACATGCAGGCAACACTGGTACTTGATGTTTTTTGTTTCAAACAAAAGTTAAAGTATGTCATTTACCCAAGTGAAAATCAAGTCCTGACTCCTCACCATCGTCTGCACCCTCTAGAACCTCAACTCACACCATATTCTTCCTTACACTCCCACCACACCAGTCACATCTGCACCTGAAGCCGTCTGTGTCACTTGTTCTTTCTACCTGGGAATGCGCTCCCTCAAGATCTTACCATGGCTCCCTCTGTACCATTCAGGCCTCAGGTCAGGATGGGCCTCCAGTGACCACTCTGTCTGGAGTAA